TTCTCTCTATTTAAGATGATGTTGGCAGTAGGTTTGTCATAAATGGCTTTTACCAGATTGTGACAAGGTTCTTCTGTACCTATTTTCTTCCAGTTGTTGTTCTGTTTGTTTTTTACCATGAATGGACGCTGGATTTTCTCAAAAACTTTCTCTGCATCTACTGATATGATCAGGTGATTTTTTTTTTTTTTTAAAACAGGGTCTGACTATGCAGGTTAGGCTTGCCTGGAACTATGTATGCCAGGCTGGTTGGGAACTCATAGCAATCCTATGATCAGGTAATTTTTGTCCTTGCTTCTATTTCTGTGGTGTATTACATTTATTGATTTATGCTTATTGAACCATCCTTGCATCCCTGGGATAAAGCTTGCTCTGTCCTAACATGTGATCTTCCTGATGGCTTGTTGCATTCTGCTCGCCAGTGTCTTGGTGAGGACTTTTGTGTCTATGCTTACTACAGAAACTGGGCTGTCATTCTCTTTTTTATTAGGTCCTTGTCAAGGAGGTGGAATCAAAGTGGTGCTGGCTTCCGGCAGTGAGTTTGGAAGTGCTCCTTCCCTTTCAGTCTTAGCGAAGAGTTTGAGGAGTTGAGGCGTTATATCCTCCCTGAAATTCCTGTAGAATTCAGAGATGAATCCATCAGGTCCTGGGCTTTTCTTGGCAGGCTTATTACTGCCTCAGCTTCACTGCCTGTTCCGGAGTGTCTTGATTCAGTGTTTAGAACTTGTATGTGTCTAGGAACCTGTCAATTTCTTCAAGATTTTCCAGTTTGTCAGAGAGCAATTTTGTCATCGTGCTTGAGAATGACACCTAGATTTGGGCTGTATCCATGGTGATTTTGCCTTTTTCATTTCTAATTGCACCAGTGTGGGTCTTTTCTTCTTTTGGTAAGTTTGGCTAAGAATGTGTCTATTTTGTTTATTCTTTCCAAAAAACAGTTCTGAATTCATTGATTTGTTGTATTAATTTCAGTTTAATTTCTGCGCTGACCTTTGTCATTTTCCTCCTTGTACCGGGTTTGAGTGTGGACCGTTGTTTTTCTTGTGTTTGAGATGCCCTATTTGGTTATTTATTTGACCCACTCTGATTTTACATTGTGAGCGCTGACCACAATAAATTTCCCTCTTAGGAATGCTTTCAATGTGTCCCATGGGTTGTGATGTGTTGAATTATTGTATTGTATTATTGTACAAATTGAGCTAGTATTACTGATTCTGGGAATTGTTTGATTTCTTCCTTGATTCCTGCTGTGACTGGGTGTTGAAGAGTGTGTTACCTAATGCCAAGATGTTTGTGAAGTTTCTGTGGTTTCCTTTGTGGTTATTCCAGTTTCGGTGCACTATGGCCTGATAGTGCCGTATCTGGTGAGGGTGGATTTTACCTGCCCAGCGTTTGCAAACTTTATACCAATAAGGAATTAGAGATAGAAGTTTAGAAGGAGAAACAAAATCACTTTATCAGAAAGAGAAGAATGAGGAGACAGACAGCTACCTTGTAGGAGCAAGGCCGGAGCCTGCCAGTGCCAAGGGTCTTTGTTCTCAGCCCCTTTTATTACATGGTGAGAAGGGACTCTGCTTATGAGAGACATCTCTTGTTTGGTGGTTTTAGGCTGAGAACTGATCCAGCCACTGTCCCTTTCCTACCTACATGCAAACCCTTGGGTAAGCTTTTTCTGGTCTTTGTCAAGCTGATACCTCTGAGATTTATGGCAGAGCCTTACATTCAAGGCTGAGTTAGCAGTTAGTAAAGGGATACGTGTACATTTTAGCACAGCCACATGGTGAGAAGATATTACAGTATATGTACTTTTCTATGGGTACGTGTCCCAGGCACGAGGATACATTTCATACTGAGTTTTATATAATATAGCCCCTCCCCACTTCCTCTCTGTTCTCAACTGGAGGCGGAGAGGAATTGGAGCTCTGGCTTCAGCTCTCCCTCCTCCTTTGACTGCTCTTGCTAGCAGGGGTTTCACTCTTCCCATTAGGGTTTGCCAGAAACCTCACTGAGGGCCTCACCTCTCCCTGCCTGTCCCCCAACTTTCCCTGCAAGCCAACATGGGATGGCTTTGATTCTTGTGCCTTTATCCAAGCAGGCTTCACGGACTAGGAGAGGTCTGTTTTGGAGACAGTTCTGTGTGTGGCTAAGAATGTGCATCCTTTTGTAGTAGGCTGCACACTCTGTAGACAACTATGAAGTTCCTTTGTCTCAAGGTGTGGTTCAGCTGATATTTCATTAGTTTTTAGTTTATTCATGAAAGTGGGGTACTGAAGTCACCCATGACTGTGTTGGTGCTCATTCTTTTACCCCCTGCAGTGCTTGCTTCTGAAGGGGTGCACCGTGGTGCACATATAACCACAACTGTAAACGTCTTCCTGTTTAACTGTGGTTCCTTGACCAACCTTTGTGACCTTCTTTGCCTCCTTGTGGTCAGTCAGCTTTAGCTTGAAGTTCACTTTGAGAGTAACACTGCTGTCCCTGCTTGTTTTCTGGTGCGTTCTGTCCTGACGTTTAGTCTATGAATTTCTTTTTGGATCGCTAAGCTTTTTGCCCTGGGCGCTGGGCCACCCCCCCACCCCACCCCCGTGTTGGCG